TTTGTATACCCAAAGTCCGAACAAGAGGCATGAATTCCATTTGTCAGATATATATTTAAATACAATATTTTACAGGGACTCTGTAAAATGTAAAATCTTTTCTAGATAAATAAAATAGTGAAATTCACGTATGTTAAACATTTAACGAAGTTGCGACTTGTATCTTCTTAAATGTCAACATGAATGTACAGAGCAAAAAGAAATCCATCTTTTGTTCTTCTTATGTTGCTCATTGCTTAGCTTCAATCCGGCATTGCATTTGCATTCATAGTGTTTCCCTTCCCACCAATGCATGATGAAAATATTCTGATCTTGCTGTACTTCCCACAGACCCTACTAGATTTCTTCTCTATAGACGTGAATCAAGAATTTGCAATTCAGTATTGAAAAGAACATTAAGGCATAAAGATTAAGCTTAACTTTTCTTTAGTACTCTCATTAGATTAAGTGCGAACATCAGCAAGATCAGTTTCGGCTCACAATTACTCTTCTTACATAAATTATGGCCTGAAAGTTGTACATTTTCTAGTTTAGACTTCCAAGTTGTGTATTATATGTTGCCACAGTTAAATCAGTTAAATCGGGAATTGTTTATTAAAGAACGAGATACAAGTATACAGCAAAGTGTGTTTTTACCGTATTACCTAAAACGCTTTTTTAAATTGTATATTGGCATATGCGATATAGAATCGATATTTGTGTGAAAATGCAGCAAGCTATTGGCAAATAACCAAAGATTCGATCCTTCTTGATAATAACTTTTGGTTTTAAATAAACAGTAAATTACTTTATGAGCGATTCGGTAAATATCCTTAAATTCCTATACTACATAACTAACTGTGATCTACGTTATGGTAGTTGTTGGTAGTTGAAAACAATTCTGAAAACTTCTAGTGAGTCGTGATGGTCCGTATAAGATGACCGAATTTGAGTGAATAAAAGCTCCACCAGTTTGTTTATTAGAAAAACACAAGAAACTTGAACTTTTTGTGGTATCAATGGAACCTCCATCAGTTTGCTTTTGAGCTTGGGGTAAGGTATATGATAAGTGTAAGCCAATATATGCAATACTCGGAGAAGGTTGTGAATAGCTGCATATTTCCCTTTGGGGACCTCTGCACATCAACGGCTTGTCCGTCCGTGTGTTTTCTGAACATGTAGTAATCCTCGATACCTTCATACATTGGCGCATTCCCGCCTAAGGGCCTATGCCACTGAAACTTGAACAAATTGATTTGTTTGAACGATCATTTACGCGTAAGTGCCTGTTTTGAAAAACGTCATATAGAAAAATTCATGAAATTTGTAACGATGTTAATGTGGAAATATGAACGAAATGGGATCAGCATTGTTCGAATCGATACAAATAAGCTTTTATATGATACGAAGAACATAGTGTAAGTTTTAGTATTTTTTTTAGCGAAATTTGGTACAATAACGATTTCACAGTTTTTGTTAGAAATGTTTAGCATTTATGCTAATAAGTTTTCATTGTAAAAAAGTTCGCTACTCTGCATACATGCGGCTCCTTTCTCATCTACATAACATACACAGAAATTCCGCTAAAAGTACTCTGGAAATTTATGCGAAGCAAACCGGATAAGAAACTTTTTATTTAGTAGCAAGCAATATTATTAATTGGCAAAATTGATGATAAGTGCCTGTAAATATAGTGACGGGAGGGAGAAGGCTGTTTTTTTTTTTTTTTTGATATTCTAAGTATGCTTGAGCAACTCCACGATGCAAACTAAATTGACATAATGAAATCAGCGTAAAAACTTCCATTTTTTTTTTTTTTGTTAATAGACAAACAAAGTACAAAAAAACAAAAATATATTTCTAGATAAACATATCTACATGTATGATGATCAAGTTTGCATTTAAGTAGACATATTTAAATAAACAATCTTTTGGAAAATTTATATAATTAGAAAACTTTGTTTGTCGTGTTCAATGTTTGTTATTTATAACAGCAGAGAGAGAGAGAGAGAGAGAGAGAGAAGCTGGATGCATATGAAAAAGTTTTTATTTTAACTTTAGTGGTTTTTGCGGATAAGCAAAATGCAGACAATTAATCAGCGCATCAGAAATTTGCTTAATTGTAAAACCAATAGAAAACCGAAACATTTCAAACCGAAAAAACCACATCCTTCTTTCGAATTGCTCATATCTATCGTATCTACAAATGATAGCTATTATCTCCTAGTGCGTTTTAAAAGGACATTAACTAACATTTTTGTTTTTTTTTTTTTTTTTTAGTGGACGACTAATCGATTTCTTATTGACAGCTGATGGCTGAAGATAAAATTCGCTTTTTTATGAAATTTCTCGAATATATCAACAAATTTGGAATTATATGATAAATACTTAACATCATGAATTATGCAGGGAACTGCGTTAACAATATTATTTAAGTCATCAATAGAAACGGAAGCTTACGATTACTTCCTGTTTACATATAGACGCACATACTTCAGTAACATGCTTAACATAAATGCCAGTTAGCTAACTAAACAAACTAAGACACATCAAATTCGTTAGTTAACCAGGTCGTTTAGAACCTATGAATGTTTATGTTTGCATGTTGTCTTGCTTGGCTGCTTGGACTAACACTCGGTTGAATGTGTATTAAAGCGAAGTGAAATCTCTAAATCTTGTTTTTCATTTCATTTTTCCTCATAATCTGTAAATGTGTTATAAGAGGAAATTTGTTGAGCTTCCTGATTACTGTTTGAAAAAAAAAAAAAAGAAGAAACTTTAAAAAAAGGAGGCAAAAAATATGTTACAATCTGCAACTTACTTTAGTCAGTCATAAACATAAACACATGTGCACGTCGTTGTAAGCGCTTAGCATTTCTTTGGTTACCATAGTAACAATATGTTAATGAAACAGCAAATTGCTTGGTTAGCATATCGCGACGTAGCTATGGGTAACAGAAACCATAGAAAGTGAAAATACTTCGTATACTATCATAAGAGAGATATTATATTTGGGACCGTTTAAATATTCACTACTGCCTGATATCCGCTATTTACTTGTGGGCTTAATATTCACTCGATATATCGATCTTTATTGAAAGAGAAATCGCGGAGATTGTATTAGGAAAAAACCCATGATCCTATTTGAAGCTCTAAACGAAAACTTGAACCATTTCGAAAGTATACGATTCACCAACAAGTAGGTAATTGCGATAATTGTGAACGCAACTGTTGACAACATTTTTTAGATTTTCGCGGTTACATTGGCAAAATTTTAGGCAGAAGAATAGACTGCAGATAAGCGGATTTTTTTTTTTTGTGACGTACAAAACCAAGCGCAGCTTAAAACACTTCTTCTTCTTTATGATATGAAATTTGATACAGATGTCTGTCGAAGTTTTATCACTTAAGAAAAAAAAAGCATCTGATATGCTCGCGCAATTTAAGTTGAATGTTGGTCTTACAAAAGTACATAGTGATCACACAGTTATCTCTTTTACTGATCTGATATGAACGGATCTAGTTCAAACTTGTGCCTTCTTCGAACTTCTCTTGTGAAAATTTTTATATCTTTTGAGTATAAAACTATCGGCTTGACTTCAGCTATTTGCTTTTGTTCTTCTCATTAATACTTTCATTGGAATTTTAAAAGATCGAAATGAAAAAAAATGGAAGAACTTTTTTTACAACAAGTACAAGTACGTCATTAGTAAAAATATCTTTAAACTATGCATTTATCTTATGATTTTGTTTTTGTTTTGGTTTCATTATACTTCAATTGTTTCCCCTTTTCCGTAACATGAACATATATATATATATATATACGATTTAAGCGTGTGGTCTTGCAACTGCTATACTGTTGAGGTTATTAATAAACAACTTTCGCATAGAAAAGTAATTGCGAATGCCTAGATTTAGTTTTGATTGTAGCCCGTAGTACATAGCTCTTCAAAATGAATAATAAAACAGAAAATATAAAATATTGTTTGTTACTGGCCTCCCGTCCATAGGGCAGCACAAAAAGAAGGCATGCATTTTTTCTTATTCTCATTACACTTTCTCAACATATTATTCATAATGTTAGGAACAACCACTTCATGTAGTTGTGTTTTCTTTCCTTCCTTTCGTTTTGTGCTGAGTACAATATTGGAATCCCTTAATATATACTACAATGTTTATGCGTTTTATGTTACAGCATAAAATTCTTGAACTCATAAAGCTACACAAAAAATGAAATATAACAACGATAACAATAACAACAATAAACATTAACATGAAGCTGAACAACAGCTAACGAATACACGATTATTTTGTTTTTCATTTTTTTTTTTTTTTTTTTTTTTTTTTTTGACTGAAAAAAACGCATATAACGAAGCCAAGTAAAACATAACAAAAATTGTTGTTTTCGTCGTCGATAGTAACCAAAAGGACTGTATAAGCTGCCGAGTTTTTGTTTGTGAAAAACAAACAGCAAACAACACAAAAATTTTTTTTCTAAAGAATTCTTTACAACAAATATGCATTACGTATAAAACCGGGTGCATTGCATGTATTTGCAGAAAACTGTAGCAGACAACGTTAGGCTGTATACAAAAAAAATGTACATATGTATGTAGGCGAGCACCCTCGCTCAATGACCCATTCACATACACACGTACACATACACACACACACACACACACACACATACAGGCAAGAACAAAATAATGACGAAAGCATTCGTCAGAACGAACGATCTGCTTGTGAACTTAGCCGAAAGCTTGTGTTGAAGGTATAAGAAGTTACGTTAGACAGCAAACATTCAGAGTCATGCTCTAGCTACCAAAGAGCAACAATTATTAGTAATACTTAAGGGATAATAAAACGGGTTTGCGCTAAAATTGAAATCTGTTAAAATTCGAAACTTTTTACGACAATACACAAGTTTTTTTAAAAGTGATAAAACTGCGACTTGTATTTATTTATTTATTAATAACCAAAAAAAAATCCGCATTGCTCTCGGTTTATAAAAACAATTTTCATGTTCTAACTTGATAAGAACAAAAATAATTAAATACATAAAAAAAATAAATAAAAAAAAAAACGCATCCATGGAAACTTTGCAATAATGAAATGTATGCGAAAAACAATTGAAAGTTTTTAATAATTTAGTGAATAAATATGAAGAAGCATTTCCGGCATTAGGTACGTATAAGTGATGTATGCTTGCACATAATTAAATGTATCTACAGATTTGACGGAGCGTATGAGTGCTTTAATTATTAAGTATTACGTTACGCTCGTTCACATACACATATCTAGTTAAGCAAATGAGAAGTAATTAAACTTATTATAGCCGCGCTATATATACCCCCATCAACCGGCATGGGAACGTCTAATTGACTGCATGCGTTTTGCTTTCACTTAAATGCTTCATGTAATTTACTGTATGGTAAAACTTATTTTTTGAAGAATATTTAAAATTTCATTCATTTCAATTTTATTTTATTTTATTTATTTATTTTTGTTTTGCCTTTTATGCATTTCCATACACATATGTTGCAATTACAGTTAAAAGCTGTGTGCCTTTCCTGTTTTGTATATGAAAGTGTGTGATGATGATCCATTATTTGCATTGTCTGTTTGTCCGCTTTTTTGGACGTAAAAGAGAAATGGGGAAAAGTTATTTTGCGAAAAAGAAAAAAAACGCAAAGAATCTAGTGGCAAAAGATTTTCTATGATTTATGTTCATACGGGCTTGATTTGATTTCATATGCATACGAGTGCGTTTCCATATTCATTTATTGTTTTTTTTTTTTTTTTTAACGCCTTTTCCATCGTCGCTTTGCTAGTAAAGCTGATCTGATGTTTTTCTTTTTAAGATAGCTTTTGAGGGGAGATTGCAATATTTTTTGAAAAGGATTTAAAACGAAATTTACAAAGGTTAATAAGTAAGTCTTTTCTCACAGAATTGAATAAATACCTAATGTAAAGAAACGTGGAATGTTTGTAAATGTATCGAAATCGTTAATTGCTCAGTGCCTGAAATGATCAAATATCGGCCGCAATCGATGAAAGTCTTTATCTGTAGGCGTGATTTATTGGACTAGGGTAAGGAGAATGTTGGAGGATTAAATTTTTCAAAGTACCCTCACTTATTACACAATCCTTGAAGAAAATGAGTCCTTTTTAAATAGTTCAGAAGACTTTTTCTTCCTCTTACTCCGCGGAGATGCAAATACATATATATTTTAATCCTTAGAAAATGTATAGATATAAATACTGGCGAATAAATTGGTTTATTGTTCAATTTTTTTTTTTTTTTTTGCTAAACGGTTTTTTCTACCACTTACGGTGCAATGGTACATTAAGGATATACGCAACACCCGAAAGGAGTTGAGATAGACCCAGATTCTCCTTATACCAATCGATTAGGAATCGTTTTCTTAATCGATCTAAGTTTCATTGAAGCTATTGAATGAAGAACTAACTGTATTAGGCGAAGTAATGTAAGGTGGGCCATGTACCACTTTGGTGCTTTTACTTGTTTTGAATTAATTACTGGTCACACCATCTTGAACATTGTACAAAAGTCGTGTACTTTTTTTCTTGAAAAAACCAAGATGAAAAAAGTCTATCTGATGTCGTCGCTTTCCTATGTCAAGTTTCACTTGAACCAAAAAAGCAAAATCTAATGTTGTCGATATCCATTGAAACTCTTACGAACTTACATTAAATTTCGACAAACTTTGACGACGGCCATAAGTGTCAGTCAGTCATTTAATGGCGGAAAATTGATAGAGTGCGAAAAGTTGATCTTCTTTCATTTTCATTGTTCTCAATGTTACGTTTTTGCTTTCTTGCTTTTAACTTTTAAAATCGCTTATAAGTGCATATTAAACAAATAGAACAGTCTGCCGACTCATTTGAAAACCTTTTAAAACTATTTCGTTTGTTTTGGCTCCTGTTACTTATACTGTCTTTTTGTCTTCGCTGTCAGTAAACTCAATGGCAACTGTGCGTGTTTGAACTTTAAGTACTTATTACTTATAGTTTTGATTTTTCATAAAATTAAAATTCTTCATTTCACGACCCCGCGTTGTTTGGCAATGTGGTGGAGTGGGTAGGTGGGTGACTTATAGCATATTATTATCAAATGTTTGTAAGAAAGAATAGCAAGCAAATGAAAACTTTTTAATAACTTCCGCTTCAAAAAAGAATTTTACAACATTTTTAACACTAAAGAAAGAAAATGCTTTCATAAAAATTTTCTCTCGTTACTATTGCTATTTTTATCATTGTATCTTTGTCAGGTTATTATCCATTCAGTTGACGTAAAGAATATGATGATGATAAACATTAATTTTCTGCTATACAAAGTGCGTACGCGTATGAATGTAGACACTTGTTACTCTCGTTTCATGATTTTCTCTATTTACTTTTTTTTTGGTTTTCTTTTTTGCAATTTTGTTTTGCCATTTATTCAGCATACCTTTACGTTTAAACTGAGAAATGGCTTTATGGACGTATGTACCTACTTTTGGTGAATTGTAGAATTGACAAAAAAAAGAAAGAAGAAAAAAGTTGACTCTTTGTGAAGTGTGTATAAAATATGCGATAAGCGCAAAGAACAGACATTTCTGAAGTCATTCATTTAGCCGACGTGTACGCAACCACCCAATCATGCTTTTGTGAACGAAGACTGTTAAAGGAGAAGCTATTATGGTAAGTGTAAATATGCCTGCACGCGCGTGACAAGGAGTGTTGATGGTTAACTAACTAACTGACTGTTAGCACGACTGTCATTTTTATTATATTATACGAATGTATATACACTATAATATTGCGACAGACGTAATAGATTGCGAGAATTCCTGAAATATTGAATGCACACAAGTGAACACACAAAGGCTTATAAAAAAGCGTACATTCTCACGCTGACTTCAAATGGGAAAGGAAATGTACGGAAATACTATTTTTCTACTTCTACTTGTCGCCGGAAGCATAGGTGTTGTTGCGTTGGCTGTTTTGTGTACAATTGCTGATGTTATAATATGAAAACGTAGCGTACATGAATTTGATTCAATTCGAAATTCAGATTTATACATCGACGTACGTAATGCGATTGTCGATCGATTCATATATCTTATTGATGGATGTGATAGATAAGTGGGTTCTTTTTCTTCGCAACAAAAAAAATCTCCCTCAGTAAAATGGATGTTAAAGGAATCGTCCTTACTTGACTTGAGTTTATTGAATTTCCTTTGTCCTCAACTTATTTAGTTAATCGCATCTAACTGTTACTTGGAAAATTATGCTTGAAAACTATGATGAAGAATGTTTTTTGTCTCTTTCCATTTCTCTTCTTTGTCTGCCCTCCATGATATGATATTTTTGGTGCTCTTTGCATAGAATACATTTTACGATAATGTTTGGCCAATTTTTAATCCTCATCGCGAGTATTGTCGCTTAAAAAAAAAAAAAACACGCATTAGAAATTTTAAGGGTCTTTAAAGTAAATATATTTTAGATCACTAGGACATTCTGACACTATTTCGACTGACCGTCTCCTAGCAATATCAACTCTATCATATCATTCGCTCTTCATGTGTCTCTTTTTAGGAAAGAGTTCCCTTTTCTTTTACGGTCTCGCGTTCTGCTCATATGTAGTACGATTCCCAAAATCTCAAAAATGGAACTTATGGCTTGAGGAATAACAAAAAATTCGATCAAAGTCAATAAGTGATGCTGTCTTTTTTTTTTGCTTGTTTGCATCGTTATTGCTGGCGCTGTTGGCCAAACATGCGATGATTTTAGGGCTTTTTGTCGCACATACCAGTAACATGCCCATGCATTATTTATTTGAATTGAATATCACGATTGCATTGGGGGAGAAAATTCTTTTATTCTATATATGCAAAATTTTCATTTTTATGCAGCATTCGTCTTGTACGCGATTTCAATATGAATGATGTATATATATATCTATTTTTTTTTTTGTGAACAAATGCGCACTCGAATGGAATATTTGCATTTATCAAGAAAACAAACCTATGAATTGCTTATACAGTTAAATGCATTACAATTCATATATAAATATATATATATATATGCACGATTATATAACGGCATCATATTTATGCTCTTTAATTGCAGAAGAGAATTATTCTGAAATGCGTATAGAGTAATAATAGCTACATATAAGAAGGCTTATAATAATTGCTTTCGGTGAGCGACGGCAAGAGACGTATTAAATATTTAATTAATTTATTTAAAATTGTTATACACGCACATATACATTGTTAGGAAAATCATATTTTCAACACAGTAAGTCTTCATGCGATTTATTCAATTCTGCTGAGTGTGAAATGCGTACAAAATTTCGGGCAAATAATAGAAGCAAATAGAGATTTTCGATGCATTGCTCATGCAATTGCGGAAGAGATAGATTAACAAACAATTCGCTGCAAAAAGATGAAATGCAGTATTAAAAGTTCATAATGACATCCGGTTACTCCAGATAGGAGTAGCAACGAACATATTAGGTCAAAATGCGGTATCCGTTACATGTTTTAAAGGTTCATAGGCAACGGATGGGATCAAACAAGTGGAGTTGAAGTGCAACCTTCACGGAAAGCAGTGGCTCAGATACGTTTGAGAGCTTAACGAAATGAATTATTGTGGAAGGAATAAACCTCCAGTCGTTGTAAATAAGTTCGTTTAACGTTGTAAACAATTTTTCAATAAACATTTCTTTGGTTATATAATTATAATGTGCTACATTGTTCCATTTAAGGAATAATAAATAATAAGGAAAGCACATCTATTCGTATGAAAATTACTTACATTGATCTTTTAATAATCAATATTTTTTACATATGCATTGCAAAATATCAATTTTTAATGCTTAGTGAATTAGTGAAAAGTTTGTTTGTTCACCTACGGTTTGTGGTCTGAAAAAGAAGAAGTAGTAGAAGCGAAGAGAATAAGTGAACGAGCTATCGAATCTATGTAGTGGAAGTGGAATGAAAACATTTTGTAATCACATAAGTGCATTAGAAGATAATGCGCTCCCAATAAAACAAATCACTCAATAAGTTCGTAGAATGACATGTGGGTATAGGAAGACTATTAACGCATCTATATGATTTTCATACCCCAAACAAACAAGTGGCGGTATGGACAAACCAGAAGAATTTGAGATAGACACACACATCATTAATTTGAAAAAATGTGAATTTTGTGCATGTGTAGCGTGCCAGTAAGTAAATGTAAATATCTAACAGGCAGAAGCACCAGAGTGGTACAGTTATTCATGTAAGGATTTTTCAAGATAACACGCTGTATGCGGAGTGGTTGGAAAAGCTATTCGATCACAACAATTTTCAATAGTGGTACGTCTTAGGATCAAAACAAGTCATTGTATAGATCGTGTGTGTAGGTTGTATAAATCGGCGGACATAAGATAGACAGACAGACAGACAGATGACCAGACAGAGTGGATCTATATAAAATACTTTTGTACTACAAGTCGGGTAAAGCGCAAAAATTCTATTACACTTAAAGAGGAAGAATTCATTTGGCTATGCTGTGCTCTGCTTCAATAATTCATGAATTATTTATTAAATCTTTCAAGTGAATTTTTTTGTTTATTGTTTTCATTGCATTGACAATTTAATTATAGATAGGTTCTCTGTAAGCAGATATTCTTTATATCTTATATAATATAATTCAATCATTTTATCAGTGCAATGTCAGTCATCGTAAGCTGTGGTATGCCACAATTATTCTAATCGTACCACACAAAATGAAAATAAAAACCTTCAGAGTAGGGAAAGATTCAAGCATTCATAAGCATTTATTTGTAACGAAATTTCCCTTCAAACAGATTTCTTCAGCGAAGCAAAGTTTAATATTTATGCAAAATTCTTGTTCTTCGTAGTTCTTGTGCAATCGCTCACATACACCCGGTAAATGACATGGATGTTGGAACAAATGCGATCAAGTATTTTTCTGCAAATTTCTTGTTAAGTAGTTGTAAAGTAAATGCAAACTAATATTTACGTATTACATATATATATATATATATATATGTGATATAAAACTATTCGCACTGGTTTACTAACATAGAAATCCAATGTGTGTACATATGTTAGTCGTGTCGTGTTGACGGGTGGTTGGCAATAAACATTAATATGGATATGTTTAGATGTGAAACCATTAGAAGAAATGAAAATCAGTGAATTTAAAAAAAAAAAAAATAAATAAATAAAAACCCATAAGAAATGTTGGAAACGTTACTAACATCTACCAACATCTACAAATATATATATATGCATGCGTGCAGATATCTGTTGTTTGAAATTGTGTGCTTATATGCTGCATTAGTATATGAATTTGCTTTGCGTTCTTTATCAAATGTATATAAATGTGTCATTTGTTAACGGTCGATAAGGGAGCGAAGAGAAAAGCCCTTAAGAAAAATGGTTTAAGTTGAAACTATCCAAAAGGAATGAATGAATGCCTGAGGTGCCAAATAACTCGGATAACTTGGATAACGTATAAAGGAGCACACGTTTTGTGGCAAATGGGATTTACACAAGCATTGTATAAAAATTTTATGCAAAAGTATTAAAACAAAAGACAATGTTTGACAGCAAAAATCTTCTTAGATTTCCTTTAGTAAATATTACATACATAAAATATATGCTTTCCTAGTTATCTGCCTTGCCTGTTTTATATGTATATGTCTATGTCAAATATAGGAGAAATTCTAAAATGTGCATAGTGAAAAGGCAGCAAGTATTAAGGAAGGAATGACTTTAACGAGGAAGACTTTTTTCCGCTCATATATTTTTTTGTTCCACTCCAGCACTTGATGAAAAAGTTTTTAGTTTTAGTTTAACTGAACTGAACTGAACTGAACTGAATTCGACTGAACTCAATTGAATATCTTAACTTAAATCAACCGATCAACGTATGACAAACATTTAATGTACAATCAATTTTTTTTAAATTTTTTTTTTATATAAATATTTCTTTATATTCAGGTATGGAGTTGTTAGTTGTCAAACGCCAATCAACTGTAAACTAACATATTGGTTGTCATGTTTATAGATGGAACGTTGAATGGCATTTGCACCTAAGATGCGTACTCACGAACGTGTACCACACTTAAGCTGTTTGTAACCAATTATTTAGTGACTGTGCAAATGTATGTGTATCCACTATCAATGTATGTTAACAAAGCGAACAGACGCGGTTAATAACATTTTCGGAACTGGAAAGCATTAATCGCTCCGGTGCAAAAAGTTGAAAAAGTTTCATTTATTTTGCGCAAATGGTTTTTAATACTTTATGTGTGCGGGTGGCTAGTGGGCTGGGCTGGGCTGCATTTTTTAATTCCGTTTTGAAAGCAAAAAAAAAAAAAAGAAAAGCTTTGTTGAGCACGCAGTCAATCGAAAATAGTAAACAATTTGGGGAAAATTCTGCAAGTCCTCAAATTCCTATCTGGCTATTGCACGGAAATTCCTTAAAATTTTACCCCCCCAAAATGTCATTAAGAGGTAGTTGAAAATGTACAGAATTTGGAGCGACGAGTAGCGGTAAATGAGAAGCGTACTTAAATAACTGATCAGCGAATTGTTTTATTTTTTTAAGTGGCTTATGCTAACTATGTTTGAAAAATGTAAAAAAAAATTTTGCATAAAAACAAATTGAAACAATGAACTTCTCTTGAGAATTTGCTGTTTATTCGTTTATAAAAAAAGGAAAACAGGAAAAAGAGGAGAAAGTATAGAGATAGGTATATATACCACAGCGTAACTAAAAAATAGAAAGCCATCGTATCGCCCAAAAAAAAAAAAAAAAAAAAAAAGTGCAATACTTCGTTGAGCTGATCATAGGGACAAAATTCCCTTTATTAGCGAATCCGAGTTAATGCCACTTCACTGCCAACATCATAGACAAGTCAATTGAAATGGCAGGCATTTCTTTGTTCATCAGTTTTCGTGATTAAAAAAAAAAAAAAAATCTATGCTAAAAAGTTTTACAAGCACAAAAAAACAGTGACGAGAAAACACATTGTTTTTGTTGACTAGTGAGTGTCACTCACAACATCAGAATATCGATGTTAGTTTAAGTATTGTATCGATAAAAAATGCCTTCTCAGGACAATAGATTTCGTATACAATGAGTCCGCTAAAGACATCGATGAGTATCACGTATTTTCTAAATACATAAAGGGATAGTTGGAAACATTGATATTTTTAAACCCTACAAGACTTGTGTGGTATAAGGATGTATTAAGTTGGTGCGGATGTATGCAGAATTTACAAGGACTTTTATTACACCGATCGGCTCAAAATCATTTTCTGAATGAATAGAAGCTTGCCTGGCCGTCTTGTAATCTTGTGTTCAACCCTCTACACTTAACTATTTTGATGGAATTCGTGTCCAGGACGTCGTGTCTTTGACCAAGGGTGAATGCTGTTGAAAATGGTACGGACCGACACAAGCTCTAGTCCATGGGGAAAAATGGAAAAATTTGTTTTATAAAAATGTTATTTTTTTTTTTTTTTGTTTTTTAATCTCGCCCTACTCTCACACACTTTTATTTATGTGCGTACGCATATCAATGAAAATGAAACTGATCTTTAGAAAGCAATGATAATTCGGTATCTAGCCTAGCGGCCGCCTTTTCGATTTGCAGCATGGAAGAGTGCCCAAAATATCGATTAGAAATTTAAATGTAGACATGAAAGTAAGTTAAATTTGACGAAAGAAGGTGCATTCTCGACGACCTCAAACTCGAATATCTACCAATGCTTTATTTCCGCTTTATTTTCTAGTCCATAGATTGTTATGTGTGTGTTTCTCTACTTTTAAATTTTATTTTGTTATAGTTAATTAACTTTCTATTCTTATACATACAAATTTTTTTCTTTTATATTTTCTACAGGTCCGACTGACTGTCTTTTTTAGCCGAAGGGCATCAATCGTGATATAGTATTCAAAGCAGACCGAAAGAAATGTTTCAACAAAACAAGCCAAAGGAAATACAACAACAAAGGGTAACAACAACAACAACAACAATAACAACATCAGCAATAAAATTAATATAAATAACAAAATATTTTCTTATCGCAATAAGTGTACGAAGCTATAGCGAAATGATACTGTAATGATAAACAAACCAACAACAATACCATCAGAAACAGTTATTGATTAGACGTTAATACCCTTAGACTATGCTATGCTTACATGCATTTAAGACATTGTTGCAATAATTGTTTACGCATGCATGGCAATAGAATAGAACATAGACGAGTAAGAGCATTAACTGTTTGTTAACAATGAAAGCGGATGTCATTACATGCTTACAGTAATCAACATTAGAACAGTTAAACTTAATTTGTTAAGCTTGCGTACGATAACATAAAAGACAAGAGAGTCTAGCAATCAACCGGGGCAACCAAATCGGGTTAACGGGCTGCAATTTGCATTTTGAATATTTGTTTTTATTCGTTGAAATGTGGCGCGATATCTTTTTATATTTATTGTTAATTGTTTTATTTTGTTTCATTTTCTTGGCCCAATTAATTGTTAACGTATACGCATTTCAACGTCAACCGCCGCTACCCAAGCCTAACAGCGAAAGAAATGATATTATATTTGTATGAAAAGAAACATGTTTTTCAAATATTTTGACAAAACATAAGTCTGTCTGTCCCTAACTAATCAAAAAGCGAGAATTATCCAATAAGTGTCTAAGGTATACTTTCTCTTATCACTTACATGAAAATACGTTAAATACTCTCTTCTGAGAACATTATGTAGTCGGTACTAAAGTATTTGTCTTAAGAAAAAAAAAAAAAAAAAAAAAAAAAAAAACAAGAAAAGGGAGATAAACATATATCCCAGTAATCTAATGCTGTGGATAAGAATATAACTAAATTTCATTTGTTTTTTCAACACAGTAATCATTATAATATAATATCATGTATAGTCGGAATAAAGTGTAACAAAAAAAAAAAAAAAAAAAAGGCGAGCTGGACAAAACCTTAACTAAGGCGATTATATCATGTGAAAATCATTTTTCGTTTTCCATTTTCCATTTTAACTTCAGTTTAATTTAATTGCCATTAACACATAAATCTTTGTTCTATTTAAGCCTTGCGTTTAAGCCTTGCATTTACTGTTTATTCTTTTTTCAATTGTAAAAATATTTTAATTGGTTTCGGATTTTCTTTAATTGCAATTTAACTGCGGGGTTTTTAAAGTTCACATTTATACTTCGCCTATATAAATAAACGTGAACTTGTATGAATTCATGAAAACGAATTATAGAGAGCTCATAAAGCAGAAACATAAAAACACACACATACACACACACACACACACACACACATGTTATTTGCATACTCTGTCAGAATGACCTCAAAAACTCTAGAAGAAGAAACATATTTTAAGGTCTTCTCCCCACCTCCCCACACCCCTTCCAAAACCCATTAAATTAAATGAGTTGGCGTTCTCTCTGGCAATTAAAATATATTTGATATTGTATGCATTCTATGAACTATCTTGCTTGTTCTTCTGGCTTCTAAAGGCACTTTTTAATATATGATTATCATAAATATTTATGTAATTATGGAGAGTATTTAAAATTGAATCGAAGACCGCAATTATTCCATAAATACTTATATACATTGAAAAATGAAAAATCAGCGAATTAATTCTTACAACATTCTGTTTATCGCAGTTCAGTCTTCCATGTAATCATTAACATGATGTATTAACATTTACTTATATATTCTGTGAAATTAATTTTAAATTATTATTAAATTTAAATGCAAACCATTATATACCTATATATATATATATATATATATATATATGCGTTCGTCATTGTCAGCATTTTATTACACAAGTAAATGCCTAATATTTGCGTATTGGGCATTGTATAATTATTATAAATTATTAATATTATTATTAATAAAAAAGAAAAAAAAAGACTAGACAGCAAAATTTTTCTATAGAAATAAATTACAAAAAAAAAAAAAAAAAAAAGCACAAAACTGATATGAAATGATGCATGAATTAAAATTAATAAATTGAAAAAATTTATAATAGTAATTTTTTTTCGGATTTTTAAATTAATTTATTTTTCCGGATAAATTTATTTTCCCGTAAAATTCTCGAATCAATGAAATACATTGCAGTTTGTAAGGAAGCAACTTTTTTTTAACAAATTCATCACATATCCAAGTAGATAACGATGAATAAATCGTTAAATAGAAATATTAAGGAAAATCATGGTAAGCCTTCGAAGCAAACTTATCGAAGATCACGAAGTTACCTTTATTTGATATTTCGATTATTGGGGAGTAAAGTTTTCCTCTTTCCTTCATCTCGAAGTTTACGAATAGATCACGAGTGGAAGCTATTCGCTGTATGTCGAGAAACAATATTGGAAGAAAACTAAGATGAAAGACAATCTCTTCTTCCTGGTTTACGATCAGAGGACCCCGATGAAGAAAACGAAATGTATTTTGTGGATAGCCTACCTGGGCCTACCAAGGATTCGAATGTTTTGTAAAAAGCTTTACTGAAAGTATTCCAAGCGAAGTTTGTTCCTCGAAATAAATTCAGCCAGTTAGATACAATAGGCTTAAGCACTATCATACGATCACAACGACTCAAAATTAAAGAGAAGTGAAAACGATCGGAACCATAATTTAACACAAGACTCTAGTAAGTAAATGTTGTTGGATTTTAACGTTTAAACTAAATTTTCCCTTTTTTTTATTTTTTATTTTTTTTGCTAAACATTCTCGTTTATGTAATTGCGTTTGGCATATGTTTCATTTTGATATTCTCTATAAAAAATGCAGATAATAAATAATTAACCAGTTAACTGTGTCGAGCTTTTTAGCTATATAATCGTATCCTTGCTAACCATAGAGAATGTGTTTGACAAAATGACAAAAATATTCCACAAAATTTATTATTATAACAAATGCACATAGTGATAGTGATCATAGTTTTTGTTTGAAATCCGACAAGAACGGATTGACAGATCGTGACGTATATATTTGTCATAGATAATCATCAATTTGAAAATGAGGAAAAATATTTCCCTTAGTTTGGTTAAAGGTTTTAAACAATCAATACACAATTTTATTATTGTAGAGAATATCGTAAAAACGCTGCAGACTACACTATGGATTCTAACTTAGATTATTATGTCTGGTCAAAATGTCAAACGTCAATTAATTCTAGGGCGTATTGGAAACTTCATGATGGAAGTAAATATTTATAGTTTTGTAAAAAATGAGCAGCATAAGCAGAGTGAGAAAGAAAAGGGCTCTTGAAAGCTATTCACTGTTAATAAGGTCACTGAACGGAATGCTGCTCTCTTTTTACAAAAAACACACAAAGATCTCTTAAATATTGAACGATTTGTATGCTCATAATAAATAGAAGAAATAGAATTTTAATTTTCATTATTTTTTTTCAATCTTAATCTTATAGTCATCAGCAATCAGCTCAGAGAAAATCATTCAGTTGAACGACTGTTTATAATGATTAGTGTGTAAGACAAAAAATATATATATATATAGATATTGAATGTTTTCTTTTTACAGTTTTTTTTTTTTTCTCAGAGGAACGCATTCATTTATATAGTTGTTTGCTTTGTTTGTTGTTCTCTTCGTTTATCAATTTCTTCTTCGTGCCTTAAAGCAGAAAAAATAGTACCGGCATTTAAATAAGTTTGTCGCCTATTTTTGGGCAAAATGCCAAAAAAAAAACAAAAAAAAAAAAAAAGAAAAAATTACACGTTTCCTACTTACAAAAATATAATGTATGTTGTATATGTACACACACACATATATATATATGTATAGGTACGCACACGTGTTTCTCTTTATTCATTGAACAAAAGTCCTTGTTCAACATTGACCTGCCCACAGAGATCAGTCAGAGGCCTTAAATGGATGTGTTTTTTTTTTTTTTTTTTTTGCTTTCTTTCATCAAATCATTTCAAGAGTAAGAAAATTTAAATTTTCATAACTTACGGAAAATGCAAAATATTACGCTTTCATCGAAATAATTTCTTCGATTTGTTTCTCTGTAGTGCGTTTTCGTTGTGTTCTGATGTCAGTTTGCCGTTCGATTTTATTTTTTATTTTTATTTTTTTTTTTTTTTTTGTGTATTGTATGTGACCAAGATTTGATGATTTCTCATAACAAACAAAAGTGTACAACACAGAATTCTAGAAACACTAACACACGAACGTTAACTAGATAATATATTTGTTTTGATTGGTGGTGTGCTCGTATAACTATTGTAGTTTTCTGTTTTGTACATCTTCTCCACAATAAGCACTCGTGATAACGTTCTTTTCAAATAATTTGCTTTCTACTATTTTTCCTTTCCTTACTTTACTGTTTAATCTATGCGTATTAGATATTTTAAGAGGATTTCTTGTTTGTCCGATAAGCCTTTTTTTTTTTTGTTTTTTTGTTGGAAAGGAGCTTGTTTGTTTAGTTGATGATAAGCGGCTATGATGGACATACGTTAAAATATAGTTTCATTGTTATTCGCAGAACGTATTGCACGACTGATGTGATTAAAGTTTCTTTTCATTACAGAAAAAAAAAAAATAAATAAATAAATATACGTTTTTGTCTACATATATAAGAATAAAAAAAAAAAACTTTTTTTTATTTATTTTTAAAACAAATTTTTAACTTCCAACTAATCTTACAGCATTTACAAACCTTATTATTATGGTATTAGCTCTTGAAGAAAGATCTAATTGTGGTTTAAAAATATAATCAAATGCCGAGAATTCCGTGTGAGACCCGGATATGTAATATTAAGTAACAAACATATTTCCAAAGATATTGGCATACTACACAACTTGCCGTTAAGTTGGCGCGGATGTGTACATCAGCCCAAAGAACTTGGGATAGATCCCCATTTTATTCTATCAAACGATTCAGAATCAGTTTTGTGTAACCGAAAGTAACTCTTTTAATCATCTAGTCAAAGTCCACCTCTTTTATATAACGGAATAACGCATTGTATGTCAGACGGTCGGATGTTGCAACGCATAACCGCATGCGTGATTGTAAAGCTAGCTAGTTGAACAGTAATAGGAAGAATTTCAATTTTTATTCAACAAGCACTGTCGGTTTTACTCAAACAAATACACGCGCAGCAAGCCTTATGGGGACAGACTTATGAATGATCGAAACTTTCTTACCGGACGTCCGGATGTTAACTCCTGGGCTATTCTACATCCTGCCCTACCTACCTATGGTCGCCTTCGGCTCTTAATTTTTTGCGGGAAAAAAAGGGATGTAGTTCGTCATGTTTGTTCTGCTCAATCTACACGTCGGAGTTTCGGTACACTGACGGGTTTTGGTGCAAGGACAAATGCTATTGAAAATGGTTTGCGTCGGATCATTTTTTCAGCCACTTCCGATATATGGCGATTGGTTTTTAAAGCGAAGGGATCTAGGGTATTCAATAGTGGCCCACCATAGCGTTTGCAATAAAAAGTTGAATAATGAAATATGAACGATATTAAAAACTTGGTTACGATAAATGAAAAGTTATGAAATATCATGAATTTTCTGTTGAAACAAGTTCAACAAGTACAAAGAAAAGTTTCCAAAGAATATTAATTCAAATCGACAATGCAACGGAAGCAAATTAAATTAAATTAAGGAAGAAAACTATGTATGAATGCAATCAGAATTTCTTTAAAAATAACTAATAATTAAAAATGTACATATGTATGTGTGTTCTTTTTTATTAATGGATATCATTTGCATTGTAAAGAGATCAAAGCTAAGAAGATCAACTGCAAAACAACGTTACAAAGTTACGGACCGTGTTAGGGCCATCTTACGGTGCATATTATATATATATATATATATATATGTTATAAATGAAATCAAAGATATAACAGAAAGAGAAAGAAACTTTAATTGGCTTTGTATCGAACATTTCGCGTA